TTTATTGTAAGTGATTTCATCAGTGATTGAAATACCTTAAATCTTTTGAATTTAATATAATTTTAAGCCCCTCAAACACACATCATTACCATTTACTGGGACATCAAAGTAGGTCAATTACATTGAGGTCAATGCTGAGACAGCGAACTGACTTGTTTATGCGTTTCTCAGACCATTTTGAAAAGAAGTTTATAAACACCAAACTCAATGTAAAAGGAATAATAAAATGACACCAAGTCCTCCATTAGTTTCTGTTGCTGTATCAGGCGCCTGGCAGCACAATTTATGGCATGTAAGAATCGTAATACAAGCAGCAAAGGAAAATGAACAAAACATGGTCCATTGTGTCAAATTTTGTTAAGTGATTAGTCAGCAAAGCCAGATTACGGCTACACTCTCTGGAGGAAACCCCAGCATCGGGCTCACATTAGAACAGCTCTTGACTTGAGAAATATATGTATTCTCCTACAGCCGAGTTATAAATTACCGTCATTTTCAAAATATATAAATCATTTTATAAAAATTATTTATTTTCAGTCATTCAGCGGCAAACAGGAATAAAACACACACATACTTCCCAAATAATTATTATGAAAACCGACAGAATCTTATATATTAAAGTGATTGTGACATTTATTGCGTTATGAAAAATTATTCCTGGAGCTGTGCCACTAATAAAGAAGTACACAGCCCTAGAGAATTGGCCCCTATGAAGCCCAGGCCCCGGCATCGTTCTGCCTGTCACATCCTGGCAAATGATTCTGGGATTTCCGATTTTATGATGGATCAACCGCCACGCAGCCTCGTGTTCTTGGAGCGATAAAAGGATGTACGTTTTCACACACTGATGAGATTTCCCCTAAAGCATCTAAATGGATAACAATCACTCCTCAGCATTTAGAATCTTATATAAAAAAAAAAGTGCTGAGCAAAAGGTTTTGGAAGTAACTATTTTATACGGAGTCGGAGTGGCCACAGGCGGGCATATTTCACCCACAGAATGATGGGTGGGGGAGATATCTACCTGTAAGTGAAGGAGTCAACCGAGCTCTGGAACGTACTCTGGCTCTCACCTTAAAAGTTATTGTGGTGCCTATGTCGTACTTTCACCCATTAATCTGTTTCGCAGCATGCATGATATCTGACCACAGTGGTGGATGCAGGGCATGGCACTTATGGCACATGCCCTGGGCACCACTTGAAGGGTGGGGGCGCCACACCATGGGTCATCAAAAGTTCGCCGACCCTCGGTGGCAGCTTACTTTTTTTGGTCTGGCAGGCATCCCACCAAGCTCCTGGCAGCCAGTGACGTCACTGGTTGCCAAGAGCTGGGCGGGATGCCATATGCCCATTTTATAGCAGACATGCCTCTGTTAACGCCCCCTAGGAATACATGTGCAGTTTGCATCCCTTGCAATTACTGGGTTAAAAATTATGCAGTGACTGCAAATGATGCTCAAAATTGTAACCCTTGCTTCTATCAATCAGATCGAAGACAGCATTCAGCACACGCTATTCAAAGTGTATTTCCACTTTTTCAGTTGAATTTGAGAAAACCCAACTATATGTTTGCAATGTGTTTCTAGTAACACAGCATACTTAAGGGGCTGATTTATAAATCTTCTGCCCAATGTATAGATGGGAGCGAATGCTGTTTGCACATCACTACCACCGATAGATGGAGCCAAGGAGCATAGAAAATGCCTATGCTTCTCAGTGCCATCTAGTGGTGGTAGTGCCGTGTGAACAGCATTCAGCCAGCTATATCCTAGGCAGAAAATGTATTCATTGGCCCCTAAGAATAATTTACAAAAAATATTTCTTACTTTTCTGTATTTCTTTGGGGGAAACCTTTGGGCAAACTGAGAGCTACTCTGAACAATTAGTGAGTAAGTCTGTCCCTGAGATAATGAGGAGCAGAATGAGCTCCCCCTCATTAACGGAATGCTGGAAGCCAAGTGTCTCTATCTGTAACCCTTTGTTAGAACAGACAGTGTTTAAATCTAGTTTACAACTGATAATGAGATCAGCACAGTACAGTACAATACATGTGTACAGCACAGACAGGGTTAATTATGGTAAACACTAACTCATCAGCCCCTTCCTTGAAATTATAGAGAATGAAAAAAAATCAGTTTTGGAGTTTTCAGAAAAGAAAAAGTGAGTGAAAACATGTATCAAAAATAAAGTAGGTGGCATCCCAATCCAGCTGTGAAAGTGGAAATACTCTATAAAGTGTATCTGTGGCCAGGCTATTCTTAACAAGCAGTAAATGAGCAGTGAATCAGCAGCCTTCTAATATCTATTGTAAACCCAGATCAGGAGCTCTGGGTGGGGGGAAGCAGATCAGCTGGGAGAATGAGTTGGACTATTTCACTGCTTCTGCTGTAAGCTTTGAGAATTAATTACTCTACAGTGCTTGCAGGCACAGTGGACAGGGGTGGCTTGTTTTGAAGGTCATTCACTGCTTGTTAATAATATGTAAGTATTTAAATGTCTCAAAATTTTGGTGGCTTTTAGGTGATTCCTGGCTTTTCTTTAGAGTGTTAGCAGAATACACTAAGTTCTAACCAGATACCATTGCCTGTTCTGCTTCCCTACAATACAAAGCAAAAGTAACACCTAATATCCATATTATTGTTAGCAAATTAGGATGAAATAGGTCCTTCACTGCAAATGAAAAAATGAAGATATGAACTTAATTCTGGAACAGTATCATCGGAATCATCAGAAAGTACATTCTCCCTCTACAGTAATGTTCCTTTATTTCATAACAATGAAAACATTCAATGTCCTTAAAATAGACAATACAATACAACCAACAATGTTATGACAGCTTGGAATTGTCCAGGGCCATCTATGTAAGCATTAAAGGGAAGGAATGCCTCAAAAGTACTTCCAATTTTTTTTTTGGGTCAGTGAACAGAAGAAAATCCAATTTATTTCCATGCAATGTGTTGCAGCTATGCAGAAACTGGGAAGAAACTGGGAAACTGGGAATCTTGTAAGTTTATTTAAACAGTTTTAAAATAAAAACCTGTTTTGGCATATTACACTATGTGTTTAATATCCTCTCTGGGGAACGGATACGTTTTGTAAACGACCACACCTGAACCGGAAGCTTTCTAGTGAAAGAGCACAGAGTCGAGGAGGACGTTTTTACTGTGAGTGGAGGAGCAACCGCTCACCGTGATTGCGATCTGGGATTGTTATGCCTCTTTGAATATGGAAGTCTGGTGAGTGTGGTGTCTTTCACAGTCACCGGGAGTTTGCGCACTACAGCTATAAGAAGGACTCATCACTGATGGTTATTTACATCTTGGCACTTTGTCACTTTTTTTGCATCAATTAATAGTGGACTTTATAATTATCAATTTGCACTTAATTGCTACTGGAGATATTACAATGAGAGACATGTTTTATTATTTATGAGTATTTATTAACTGTATTGGTTATATGCGATTTATTTGATATCTAGCACTTTATTATTCACGCATTATGATTATTGATTTGCGCGGTGCACCTGTTTGATTTATGCAGAAACTTACAGGTGGTATAGATGGGGTCTGCTACAAAGTGGATCCTGGGGTCAGGACCCAGTCATCTTTCTCTCAGTGGTACAATTTTAAATTCATGGCCCTATATTACAATTTTCATGATGTACCCAACTTGCTGGCCTATTATTGACCTTTACCTCTAATGCACAGGCTATATCTAATAACAGCCCACCTTAATACTGGTGGCAAGTGTCCTATGCTGCAGAGTTTAAAGAAAACCATTACATTGCCCTGAATGGGCAACATGACATGTTCTCCTAATAACACTAACAGTCACCTTTGCAATGATCCTTCTCTGCTCTATACGTCTGTTAGAACCCTTGGAAATACCTGCTACTTCTGGATATATGGAAAAATTAGATTAGACTCATGGCTCAGACCGGAAAACGGTGGAAGGGGAGAGTGGGTAAGGCAGTGATTATTGGGTAAGGGGGTTAACCTATCAAGAGAACGTGTCACTTTGCTTTGAATGGGCACTTGGATTCATTTTATTTATAGCATCCTTTGTCAAAATACATTTAATATGAGCCCCTTCGTAGACATCAAATGACCACCTCAGTCCTCCAGGCCCCATAGTAGTTGTATGGTCTGCTTTTACTATGGTTGCATCCTTGCTTCTTCATTTGTTACCAGCTGCTGTATGTTTATATTACATTTAGTACAGCTTTCTCTTTCTCCTTCACATCCTTTTTTTACCTTCAGTTATTAGATATGCTATAGCCCTAGTTAGCTTTGTCTTTGGGCCCTATAACTTTTAGCTGTTCCTCTGTATTGCGTTTGGGAAGGGGGGGGGGGGGGGGGGGCCGCGGCTTTTTTTTGTG